TGGTCCTGGTCTGGATCTGTTGTCCTCCTGTGGTTCAGACCAGAACAATAGAAACTCATAAAGTGAAGCAAAAATGTAGCTGTGTGATTTTTGGGAGGCAGCTGCAGCCACTAAACACAGACGTGAAGCCCAGACTGTCGATCGCAGAGCCGAACCCGGCAGCTCTGCGGTCCCCCGGACCTGGACCCGCTCCATCTCCAAAAGTACTGCTCTCCACTCCATTGTACTGCACTGCACTGGTACAAATAAGCTAACTACATGTGTATTGATATACATGGTATAGCGTACTTTTCAGTACACTTGCAGCTAAAACTTGTGTACTTGTCAATAAAGACTATAAGACTTTAAACTAATCAGAAGATGATATGATAATATTTCTGTCTGAATATGTAACTAATGCAAAGTTTCTGCACATTTTACGGAAACGTTACAAAATACTCTTTCAAAGTGAGAGTCTCAGTGAATTGCTCTACAGGCGTGGATGGGACCCCCGTGTCTCTGTACGAAGTGACCTCAGATAAAAGATGCAAAACAACCACAAAGAGTCAGGAAACACCCCACAGCCCTGTTTTCAGCAGTAACACAGTCGGTTGTGTTTGGAAGGTGGTTTGGACTTTTCACAAGCTTCTCCTGCTTCTGCTCCACTTTTATCTAAATATGACTTTTCTAAGAGGAGCCCATCGCCGGGTCCAACTTTGGGACCAGTCGAGTCTCTCCTACTCACAGCTGTCACAAACAGACACATTATGATTACCATGCATCCAAACTGACCCCTCATGTGACCAAAGAGCGTCTCATTTCATAAAATTAACTAGAAAATGTTAAATTAGCGCGGACCTCTGAACGCTGAAATGAGAAGAGATTCTTTGGTGGCCAAGAACAACTGAATAATAAAAACACCATATAAAACTTCTGTGTTTGGCTTTGTGTGTGTTTGTTGGCTCCGCGGCTCAGTGCTCTGTCCAAATTCTGACATATTAAAGTCATAAATCTGCACCGGTGGGATGTTTCAGTGCTGCAGAGGGGTGTGTTGCTGGTGGTGGGGCTGACGGCGTCCTCCGGTCCTGAGTTTGGTTTGGTTTTGTCTTTTTGTAACTCTGGGTGGAGTCTAATTGCTGGTGTTTAATCTGCCAGGAGCTGGTTTGGTTTGCAGTTGAGAATAAAAATGAATCTGAGATCAGTTTGGCTGCGATGATTCGGCGTTAAAGTAACTTAAGGGGGACCTTTTCCACTTAAATTTGCCTCCCACCCTCCTGATTGGCAAACCTCCATAAGTAGCACCTGAGCTTTTAAATATGTTGACCTTTTTATTTGAAACTTTGGCCAAACCTTTGTTTAATATGATCGTCCAAAAGTGCAACAATCAGAAGAAGATGGGAAATAAGAGAAGAGACTGAAAAGGTCCTCTTTAACTTGACGTGAGAAGTCCAGAGTTTGCATCCCGGTTCCTCAAAGCAGCCTCGAAGTCTGGGATCAGGTCTAATCCCTTCCCCCCTCTCCTCTCTCTCTCTTTTCTCAGAGACGCCTTCCTGCGCATCCTGGCTGTCCAACAGTGGAAGCGAAAGACTAAAGACTTGAGCGAGATTAAGTTGCCCTCACTTGCTGTAACGTCAACTTTGGAGGGGACGGCGGACGAGGGCGCAGCCGAAGTGCCGTCACGTCACGGTAAAGCTTCACATTACAGTCACAGAGCTGCACACAGCCTCCTGATGTACACGTCGTGGTTCTGTTACTGTGTGATGGTGTTAATGCTGCTCCTGTGACTCCAGATTAAGTGAATGTGAGCTGACAGCCACTCTTCTGCTTACTGTGTGTGTGTGTGTGTGTGTGTGTGTGTGTGTGTGTGTGTGTGTGTT